CACTCTTTCTTATAATTTCCTCTTAGGGTCTTCCACAAAAACAAAATGGGAGAGTCTAACAACAGAGGGCACAAAAGCAATAGACACGAAACAATCAAACGCATTCAACAATCTTTACATAATGAAAGTAACAACTGTGCTTCTCTTCCTATCATTTAAGTATGCAGAGTTTGTGAATCAGCTACTTAAGGACGCAATCACACGGTGAAATCTCCGTAAGTCACTCACAATTTAGGCTTAACGTGCTCTGGCGGGATGAGATGGACTTGCAGAAGATGCTCAAGCAACAAGTAATTATGCATGCAATCCGCTACAACTTCTGCCACCTAAAGAGAACCAAATCCAATGTCAGAAAGAAATCTCGAGCAGAAACAGCATCGGCATAACCTTTGTTTTATATCAGAATCAACTATATCACCTCAGGATCTTCAAACTCAATGAACCCAAAATGCCTCGATTTCCCAGTCTGTAAATCGAAAAAAAAGTAAAAAAAAATCAATTCTTTCATATCAATGTAGGAATCAAAGGACAGAGGGATCACTAGAACTAAATCCCAAACTGCACCCATGGCTGACCTTCTTGTTCCTGGCAATTCTGAGCCTCTTAATCGTCCCAAATTGCTTAAAGAAAGCTGTAAAATCCCCAAAGAAAAAAAAAAGACATTATCGAACATGAAACTACTATGAAACAGGTATGTCTCAATTACATGATGACACAATAAAAAAAAAGTCACCTTCCATCTCATTCTCATAAAACCCATGTGGAATTCGACCGATGTATATAACCGTGGCTTTGTGTTCTAGAGGCTTGGTTTCAGGAGCTTTGCGAGCAGAACCGCCTTCCAATGGCTACAACGAGTCCAATTACAAGGAACAAAACGGACGGTGGATTGGTGAAAGCGTTAAGGAGATTACCAAAAAATCAGCCGATTCTTTCTGGTTCCCGGAACCAGCGAGCTGAGAGGAGGAGGAGGAAGAGGAAATCTTCTGCAGCTTCTTCTTCAGGGCTTTCTTTGCCTTCGCGCCCATGTCGCCGCCAAAGGGAATAGACAGCGAGCTAGCGAGAAAGAGAGAGAGAGAGAGAGAGAGAGAGAGAGAGATGAGATTAGGGTTTAGGGTTTTCTGAGAGAGAAGACCAAACTTGCAAACATGTGGCGATTTAGGGATTTTCAATTAGGAACTGTTTCTTTCATATTTTCAATTCCACCCCCTCTATTCCTCTCTTATTATGCTTTTGCCTCGACAATTCTCGATGTTGAATTAAACCCACCCAATTAAAATTCTAACGCTGAACGGAATTTGACTTGAAAACAGATTCGTTAAAAAATTTTGAAGTAAATTTAAATTATATTGAATTTGGTAGGGATTTATCGAGTTATAATATTTAAGGAAAAGGCACAAAATATTTCATTTTTGGTATCCCATCAGATATTTTTTGCCCATTCTTCATCGTCCCATAAAAAAAACGAGAAAAAGAGTATCTCATGGGTACATCAGATGAGGTGAGGTTAATATATGAACACGAAAACAAAAGCTAAGCTAAGATCTAAACCGATGTACAATCCCGTCCTATACAAAAAAAAAGATTCAAGCTTCAACAGAGACCGATCCTAAACATCCACAAGCAGCATCTCGGCCGGTTATTTCACTTTCAGGATCTCAGTTCAAGAAGAGGGTAGCGGCCACTTCACTTGATTCCGCCACCCGGATGGCTTCTGCTATCCTGAGAGCCATCATGGCTTTGTACACGGCCAAGTCTGCGTTTTCAGCGTGAGCTTGTGCTCTTTGCCGCTTGGTGATGGCAATCTCCATGGTCGTCTCTGCTAAAGCTTTCGCTTCCTCCTCTCTGGCAAGTGCATTCTCTTCCTCTGAATTGTCTTGTTCGGGTACCTTCACTGCAATCATCCACATAAACAGAAGCACGGATCGTCTCAGAAAACCAGAAAACTCGCAAAAGACAACAATTTAGCGGCATGATGGCCTTTGACAAACGGTTAAAGATCCGACTTTTGCGGTCAAAATATGGAAAAAGGCTCAAGCTTTGTCCAAATTCTTATTGATTGTGAGCACCCACAAGTGCCCTACTGATCTTATCTGATTCACACTTAATCCCCATTACCAAACTTAACATTAAATTATTCATCTAGGATGCCAAATCTTGCGGATACATGCCGCCTTTGCAGTTCATGCCAGAGATTTACATGTCATCATAAGTCATAGCATACCATGTCCCAATTCCAATATCTCGACTCCCCAAGATCAAACTAACAACCTGACTCTAAATGATGGGAAAGAATTTGCAAGTTTATAACTCTAGACTCATCAAATCAAACAAACAGTTCACTGACTCTGACATCATGGATGGATAAATCGGACATCATTCCGATAATGAAATATTCCGCTAAAACGCAAATATGTTTTCTAAGAGAACATACCTTGCAAAGGATTTAGTTGTTTGGCTTTTGCATGGAGTTGGCTTCCTTGCCTTTTGAAGGATCTTCTCTTGCGAAAGACAGGTTTTGAAAGCAGGGGAGTTTTCTTCACTTGTTGACCCTATTACAACACACAAGCATTTAAATATTTTTCTTGCCCAGACGCAAGATAAACAAATATAACCAATATGGCTCATTCATTTGCCTTTACCTGGAAAACCCTAAGGAGTGGTGCTTTTCTTTGCTTCCTTTTTCTTGCCCAGTAACTGTATACCGCTTCTAACACTTCTTGCTTACCCAGGTGAGAAAGACCAGCAGTTGTTGCCTTCTCATCCAAGAGATCATCGCACGGGATGCGGAAACACGCCTTCTCAAATCCATCAATCATCATTTCAAAAGTATCCAGCTGAAGTTGTTGAGAGTCCTTATCTCCAACGAGCAGTTGCCCGTTATGATTCTTTAGCCACTCTTCATCTTCAGAATCAAAGTCATAGGTAGCACTACTCCTAGCCAAGGCCCTTGATACCTCATCTTCTTTCACCGATATATATGAAACTGGCCTAGAAAAGGAGCAGTGATTTTCGGTATCCGCCAGAAACCCAGGAACCTCTCGCACCCCAGGAATAGGAATGACTTTCATATTAGGTTCCAAAACGTTCCGTTCATAGCACTCTTTATAAATATCTTTGAAAGCAAGCCAATCTTGCCGATCGCAAAACTCAAGCTTCCAATTATCATCCCCAGCCCATATTATAGAATGTGTAAAGCGGCTGGATGAACAAGGTCTCATCATCTTTTGTGCCTTTTGGGTGTATCTAATCGTCCCGTCTTTCTTAATAACAACATGCCACTCCTTCGATGGCGATAACTCCAACATGACTTCAAATCCTCCTTCCCTCATGCATCTGTCTGGATCGATGACAAGAATATTTGCGGAACAACATAGAGAATCCAATTCCTGTTTCGTTCTAGCCTTTGGAGAACTAACCTCACTTGATTGTAGAGCTGACTTGTTCATCATCGAGCTTCTAAGTTTCCTTGGAGACACAGTAGACGAAAAGGTTGTCCCGTTTTTCCTACTTCCTGTTAAATCCGAAAACGAGACCCCGTTGTATGACTTGTGTGGACCATGTGAAAGATTTCTCGCTCTTCTCCTCCTGAAGGAGCTTCTTCTCTTCTGGAAACTATGAGATCCTAGGCCTCCCCTATATTGAGCATTCCCTCCACTTAACTTGGAGGCTCTCGTTGATGGGTGTAAACCTAATACACTCTCATCCCTTGAATTACATGCTCGAGTTATAACTTCTTCAACATCTGTATCTGATTCTTCCACTGGCTGGTTTTCACCATTTTCAAGTAAAAATAAGTATTTCTTTACGAAAATAAAGGAAGGACGGATCATTCTGAGAACCAGGGTGATATTCATATCCATGAAACATGGAGGAACAGCAGCAAAATCAACCGAAAAAAGGGGCAGAGAATCCACGGCCCCGAAAAACTTGCAAATCCCGTTGGGGCTATCGGGAGGATCCTGAAAAAGTCGCATCAAAATACAGAACATATTAGCATAGAAAGATCCAAACTCCGTGAACCATGTACATCAATGAAAACGTAGCTACAACATATCAGCCACTATAAGCATGTGTAAAGATTATTACCAGCAAGAATTTGATGCCGTGATCCGCATAGACGTTATTGATTGGCTGAGACATGAAAAAAGCAATCAGAGCAGACAACCTCAGTTTCTCACTCCTCAAGTACCTTATCACCAACCCGAAAACACTTGAAAACCAGCAATCACGATATGACCAATCAACCACAAGTGTAAGCAGGGCCCGACTACCCGAAACCCGCTCCGAGACTCTTCTTCGCCTGCAATAAAACTTCAGCCTGCGCAATGTCTCATCTGATTTGTCCGGAGAACCACTTGTTTTGGGACACAGTCTCTTCCTTTTTCTACTATAAACAATCCCGAACATCTTATCCACAGGTTTTTCATCGTGGGCATCCACAGTTTTCGTTTTTCTCTGTCTTTTAACCCGAAAGTCATCTTCTTTCTCGGCTTTTTCACCGGAATTCACCTTCGGACTACAGGGCTTGTTCCCGGTCCTGCTGCTTCCGGAGGTTTTGTTCCCTTTGCTCTTGCCATGGTCTTTCAGGAGAGAATCCCAAACTTGCTCGTCGACATCATGAGCTCGCTTGACCTTTGGCTCGCCGGAATTGGGCCAGAGACGGCGACCGGACCGAAGGACACGGGCTCCGTCTGCAGCCTTGACCACCCCGAAAACCCTCGTCGTTCGTCTCATCCCCACAGACGGCATCGAGCCTTTGCTTTTACGCGGTGACCAGACCACTCGACACTCGCCACTGGAGACGCCACTACTGGACTGAATCGCTCCGTGTTCGCTTGGTATTTGTCTCTGTCGAAACGCCACACCCGATCTGAGCACTAACCTATATAAACTACCCCAGCATGTTTAGGATTCGGTCAGATACCCTGTCTGATCCCGACAAGATGGATAAAATAAAGAACCTCTCTTTGATTTCCCGGGAAAAGGGATTAAACAACGATTACAGTAACGGAAACAAACTTCACCCGATTCAGTCACAGATCAAACTATTAACAAGATGCAGAAGAAAATAAATAACAAAAATCAACGAGATATCAAGAGATCGAAGAAAAAAGGCAAAGAACCCGTTTGAGAAGAACGAGATCTGTTTCAAGACTGCAACTTTTACAAGTAGGTAGCCACAGAAAAGATGAAGAAGAAGAAGATCGGCGGGTGAAACGAAATTCTCGTTTTGACACGAAGCGAGGGAACAAGGAGAGAAAGGGGGGCTAGGGTTTATGATTGGGACAACGGAAGGGAGCCAAAAAGAAAAGACCTTTCGTTGGGAGAATAAACTGTGACCGTTGATGAGTAAATGGACGGTTCAGATTGATTCTGGTTCGATGCGTCCAAGGCCCCTTGCATACGTAGACTGGCGAAATCTTTGGGGGAAAACGAATCGGGTCAAAAAAAAAATCTGTCTTAGCAAAATGAAATGACGAATATACCCTCGGAAAAAGAGGGAAGTGGCCAAAGCAAGCAGCCCTGTTACGTACAATCTGGTAAATTTGCAGGATTTGTTCAGATTGTAACCGCGAGTATTTCTCCTTTTAATATGCGAAATATGGAAAATAAAAAGGCATGTTTATAAAATATACGAAATTAGAAGAAAATAATAGATTTGAATGAAAGTGTAAGAAATTCCTGAATTTTCAAATACGTGATAAAATACTTAATAATAATCATTTATATGACACGTCAAAAATAAAATATATGCCAAAGATTGGTTATCTACACTTTTCTCTTCTTTTTTTTTTTCTTTTCTTTTTCTATTTTATGCAGCTTTTGATGAAGTCCAGTCCACGTCATAAAATGCCGAGTTTTTTTAAACTATTTCGGTCCAAATAAAAAAATCAAAATTTTCTGAAAAAAACCACATAATAACCACGAGTATCTTAGACTCATATTTTCTATAAGAAATCGTCAAATTTTTCATAGTTTTTACATAAACATATAAACTTTCACATATCCAAGAGCTCATTAAAATAATAAGAGGGGTGACAAAAGAACTGCTTAACACATGTTCACCAAATATGTAACGCATATTTGGTGAACAGCTTCACAATATTGGGAATCGGAATTGCAAGATATCAAGTTGCAGACACGACCAAAGGGATCGGTACAATGTTCCTTGCACTGAATTTTTCAGACCCAAAGTTCCTGTTTTTCTCTCTTTCAGACAAAAGGGGGGCCCAGAGACACCGTCTCTTGCTCTCTTGCTCTCTCTTTTAGGCCTTTGCTTCGACCTCGGATTCCCAGAAAGTCTTTGGCACCGTCTCAAGAACGGCGTCTGGCTGAACGTTGGTTGCCCTTCACCGTTACCTTCTGCTCCTTCAGATCGACGTCAAATGATTCCACACCTGAAAATTTCATTACCATTGTTACCGGATAACGTGCCCTACTCGGAGGAAATGATTCACGGGATCTAGACCTTTGAGGGCCAGTGAAAAGATATATATATAGTTTCGGTAGAAGAACAGACAGTCTGCATCTTAAAGAAAGCTCCTCTTCCAAACAATCCATTAGGTTTGCATTCTCATACTTACTTAACTGATGAGATGAGAAAGAAATCGTGAAGATTTGAAAGAAAGCGAGAAATACCATCAAGCATATAGCAAAATATGGATGCATCTGAGGCAGAACACAGAGGTCGATATAGCCTCCTCACAACCGAAATGCACGAGGAAAGAGGGTCCCGGTGAAACAGACGAATATGGTAAGAAACGAAACCAAAAAACCCCCCGAATCATAGTCAAATGTAAATCATGTAAATAGATCCATTCATAGTGAACAAGGAGACAGCAAGGAACAAAACTAGCCATCCATTTTGCCAAGAACTCTTTTCACTGCTCCGACACAGCCAGCCCTCGCATGCCCATAGCCACCTTGAGAAGGACGGTCTACTCAGGGAGAAAAGACATTAGACCGAAAGTTAACAATGGAGGCCAAATCAAAATCACGGGACAACCTTAAAACGCTGCCCAGACAGCTCAACAGCTATGCCCTTATCAAATTGCAAAAGCATCCCAGAAGAAGATTCATCTAAGAGAAGCTCACACGGCAAGACTTGAGATCAAACAGGAAATTTCATGATAGCGGATTATCTATCAATCGGGATTAGAAAGTGGCAACCAAATCTGAGCGATTCAACCACAAAATTCTGGAAATTTCATGATAGCGGATTATCTATCAGTCGGAATTAGAAAGGGGCAACCGAATCGAATCTTATATGGTCGAAATAGAACCGAACCCATCAACCATCGAGATGTGGACATCCCAACAGAAAAAAAAAACGGAGACAAAATCATGAATTCCACATGATCAAGAAACCGATCGAAACCCTAACTCAATTAGACGGAAGAATTGGCAATAAAGAGACAAACTTAGCGATAACTCAGATCTCAAAAACCGAAATCAAGACAACCTCTGATTCAAGTACCTCCGACATGACTCTGTTATCTGCGGGAATTCAGTCGGAGGCTGGAAGAAGAAGAGATTGAAAGATCCTTCTTTTTTCCTCCAACCGAACAAGAACCAATTCTGAAGGACGCGAAAAGAATCCACCGGTTCGGTTTGTTCTTGCTATTTGTTTCGGATTTAATTTTTTTTTTTAAATAATATCAAATTTAATTATTTCATGAATACAAATCCTAATCTTAATATAAATATAAATTATAAAACACACTAATCTATTTACCCAACCCCCCCCCCCCCCCTCTGTGCTATGAGAGCTATACATACACACGTATACTTCATACATCACATATATATTCAAAAGAGAGTCACTCCATTGCTTTTACTACAAGAAACTGCAAGCTCTCTTTTTTTTTAAAAAAAAAAATCTAATTTTATTTATGCAAAAAGCGGAAAACAAGAATAACGTAATCAGACAAGCAAAGAACAAGATTAAGGCATATATTTATATATATATATATATATAAATAGGACCGTGAATGTGAGCGAAAGAACAGGTTCCGTACTTGTTCATACTAGATGGGAGACATCGAGACAGCGGAAGCGAGTTCTGTTGATGCATTCCCGAGTTCGAAAATGGTGTTCCCCGATCCAAATCCTAGGATGCCGAGAGAGAGAACGAGGAGGAGACCTTCCAACATCAAGCTACCCTCTCGTCTGAAAGGTAAATAAACTCTCGGCCATCTTTCGAATTCTGTCCACGAGTGTGGTCTGATTCGGCCGGCGTTTTGTGCAGAGAAGGTGACGAGTAAATACAACCAGTATTTGCCTCTGCACCGGGCAATAAGCAGAGGTGACTTGGAAGCTGTGAAGGACTTCCTAAACCACCGTCCAGACGCCATTACCGCGTGGATAGACCTGTTCGAGACGCCGTTGCTGAAAGCGTGTAACCATGGACGAGCGGAGATCGTCAAGGAGATACTACAGAGGATGAGACCCGAACAGGTCTTGACCGTAAAGGAAAAAGATGGTAACTCAGAAAGCACGCCTCTCTCTGTCGCTGCCATGAGCGGGAATTTGGAGATAGCCGAGGCCTTGATCGCAAAGAACCCGAAACTGCTCGAGATTCCGGGCGACAGCAGCCTAATCCCGGTTGCTGCCGCGGTTCAGAACGGACAAGAGGAAATGGCTCGGTTTCTCTACTGCAGAACCCCTCTTCAAGTTTTGCTTGCTGACGACGGTTACCAAGGTTGCATCCTCCTTTCATTGGCCATATACTACGGAATGCTCGGTAAGGTTTCTTGGCGTTTAAGCAACGTAATCTCACATCTCTCTCGGTTAAAGATTCTAATATGCTTTTGGGTATTATCAGATATTGCCTTGGATATCTTCGAAGCTTTCCCTCGCCTCGCTGTTACGAAACACCCGCGTTTAGATCATTCACAACCTCTTGATGCGTTGGCTGAGATGCCTGAGCTCTTCCCGTGTGCCTCGAGACTTGGATTTTGGCGACGCCTAGTCTACTCTTGTATGTGTTCCTTCACTGCCCAAAAACAAAAAAATGGAATCAACATAGTTCTGTCTCACTAATTGGAATCTATAACATGATTTGCAATTTCTGCAAGCAACAGATATAAGTGTAAATCCTCAAACTTTTGCAGAGACTTGGAGTTCAAACCAACATGGAGGTAAGCATGAGCATTCTAAGATATATGTCATGACATTTGTTGAAGATCTTGATTCGAGCATTAACTCCTTCACTTTGTAACAGGTCTGGTCCCCAAGGTACTTGGAGGTCTGTCCAAATGGTTTGGTAAGTTTTTCTCCTCAGAGACATGTATGTTGCAATTACTGTAACAACCCCCCACTGTATGGCTTGCTTCCACACAGGAATCTACGAAATGAAAGAGATGCATTGCAGAGCTCAGAAGCTTCTGACAGGAATGTGTAAGGAAATATCTGCGACGGAGGAGGACGAACAGGACGAGAATGAAATCCACTCGAGCTTTTTCTCCGCGGTGAGATGTGGGAACAAGGAGTTCGTGATGGAGATGATCAGATGGAACCCGGACTTCCTCTGGCTTGCTGACAAAGACAATCGGAGAAGCATCTTTCATATGGCCGTGGAATTCAGACAAGAGAAGATCTTCGATCTGATCTACGGGTTGAAAGAGTTGAAGAACATGATCCTTGACACCGACCATGAAGACAACGGGATTCTTCACATCGCAGGTGGTCTCTCCCCTCGAGACAAGCTCTCTACAGTCGCCGGAGCTGCTCTCAAGATGCAAAGAGAACTCCAATGGTTCAAGGTATTTTTATTTGCGCGGTGTATATACACACGTAACCCATGGCTTTGTAAGGCAAACAAGGGTATATGACCGTTTGTTGTTTTCCTTGTGCAGGAAGTAGAAAGCATTGTGCCGGAAATGGACAAAGGAGATACGAACCATAACCACCTCACGGGGTATGAGATATTCGAAACCGAACACGAGCCGCTTCGAAAAGAAGCCGAGGAATGGATGAAAGGCACAGCAACCGCAAGTAGCGTAGTGGCCGCTCTCATCGCGACAGTCACCTTCCAAGCCGTCTTCACCGTTCCTGGAGGTACTGACCAAAGCAATGGCCACCCTCTCCATCTCAAAGACGCTCGGTTCATGGTGTTCACCATTGCCGACACTCTCTCCTTCTTCGCCTCTTGCACCTCCGTACTCATCTTCCTCTGCATCCTCGCCGCTAGATACTCTTTCGACGACTTCCTTGTGTCGTTACCCTCGAAGATGATCTTCGGCCTTTCCACTCTCTTCGTATCCGTCGCTGCAATGCTCGTGGCATTCTCGACCGCGCTTTTCACGACG